ACCTTGCTGTCCGTTCGTTCGCTATAACCAACCTGGTCGATTTCCATCACCCCAGTTGAAGCCAACCTCCCCACACTCGCCTCGACTACTTGATCCTACCGACCTGATACATTCCCTCCTTTTGTCCAACGATCCCGTCTCCAACCGGTCCTTCCATACGAAAAAGAAAGAAAGCAGATCCGACAATCTGATTCTATCGCCACGAGACCCTTGTTGAGACATTGTAAGTGACTGTCGACGACAGGCCGCTGTGCTGTGTGCCATATCCAGAATTGACCCGGGTATCGGAGGAAATAGTACAACTTCAATTCTTGAAATAACTTCGCGTATACCGAAAAGCACGCGGTTACTATCCAAACTCTTTCATTCGGATTGCATCCGAAGACCTATAAAACATAAAAAATCCAACCATCAAAATCATGTTCAACCCTATTTCGAAGCTTGTTCGGCGCGGTGATTCTGGAAGCAACGATGGCCTCTCTCCCTACATGGTCGATCTCCTGATTTCCTTGCTGGTTCTCATTCTGCTCGGTCTCGCCCTGGTCGGTGCTCTTCTTGTCTTGCGCCGCAAGCGCCTGAACCGCGAACAATCCGAACTTCCTGTACACAACGGGCAATGCGTGCCCAACCACCGTCGATTCACCGTCTCTGCTTCGCCGAACGCCAAGACAGAGTCCGTTCTGGTTTATGACGAGAAACGCAGTCTCATTGAGAATTCGTCGAGTCCCCCGCCCAGTCCGGTTCCCGAAATCCGCATCACGTTCCCGGAGGAGGAGGACGAATCCGGCAAGCGCAAGGCGGGTCGAGTTGTGGTTGTGAGAATTACCGACGCTGGTGGAGTGGGCTTGGAGCCTTGCAACGAGGAACTTCCGCCGTATCAATCCAGCGATGCGGAGCGATTCCAGTCGTTGGATATCGAGCGCATGGGTGGGCTCAAAGAAAAGGAAGCCACCAATAGATGGTCTTAGAAGGATCGAACTGCTGAACGACAAACCGTCATCTGCTCATTCTTCCCATCGACTGATACCCCCTCGAATGACCGACGTCGCTTGTTTGTCGCACCTGGACGAGATTCGAAAAGCATGACGATATCCCGGCGAAGATTTGCCTCGTTTCCATCTCCGTATTTAGACCGCTCTGCTTCATATTACCTTCGCGACTTGCACATACGCAAATACTCCGTCCTGTTTAGCCACCACGCTCGCCGTTTGACCCTGGGTTTCAGTATCGACCAAACTTCAAGCGCGTCAAGTTATAAACTGACCGATCTGTGCTTACTGGCCCGACCTCTGTACAGCAAGGCTTGCTGGTTTTTCCTTGATATTTTGTGCTTTATTCTCCTTGATAAGGCGTTCATTTCTTGTGCTTGGCCACTTTGGTTCTCTTCACCCTGCCACGTCACTAGGGTTGAAGAGACGTTACGCATTGGTTTGGTTGAAGTTTTCATTCTCCTCTGCATTCTTACTTGCTTCTTATCTTACCATTCTCTTCTCCCACGCTCGCCCTCTACAAGTCTCGGGTTTGCGTTCAGGGGTGTCTTACAGCTGGATAATGTATGTACCTAGTCTGACTCTGCATTGGATGGCCGCCTCACGAGGTGTGAGCCCCAATGAATGCGTTTATTTGATAAATACATGAACTCTTGATCAGCGACTTGACGAATTTCAATTATATTGGACTGGTGTCTACCCGTCCACGTGACATAAGCTCTGACCTAGAAGTGACATTTGGTTCAGCCGTGCTTACAAGACAAGATGTACAATGAAATCAGTTTAGCACCTTTACTCAAAGGCAAACTGGTCTAAAAGCCGTTCGCACCATTAATGGTCCTGGCAAACAAGGAGAGAACCCCTTTGTCTTCCAGCCGAATGTATTTGCCCTTAGGAGTGGCAAACAAAGCCTGAAAGGGTCTCTTGAAACATTCCACTAAAGAACAGGGTTAGCTAGCCGTGGGACTGGAATCAGGGGCGGGAATTGAAGCTAAAAGTTACTTTATATCAAGTTAGTCTTGGCTTATTCTTTTAGCCACGTAGGAATAGATCATTGAATGTATTATCTGAGTGTCTGTCCTGTTCCTTCAGCGGATACGAAAAGATTATATTCGTCGAGGTAACGATGTAGTGGGTTACTCTTATGACAATATGATAGGGTTTTGGACTTGAGTCATTGATTATGCAGCTGAGTAGTACTAGGTTTCTGATGCAGGTTGTACAAAGTGATTGTATTGGATTTGATCTTGTTCGTTATCTCCCTAGTGTATTTGGTTAGCACGTGGATACTAGTTATGTTGGGCATAAAAGCTTATATAAGGTGGCTTAATGTTGATTAGTTAGCTATAGTTAAATAGTTATTCTACTCTTCATCAAGTATACCATCTCACTTCAGCCAACCCAAGCTGTTGATAGTCAGAGACCCCAATATCCGTGGGAATATCATCGGCTAATTGCCAGATAAGACAAGGAGCTTACCGAGCATCCCAACATTCGCCTCATTCACCATTTGAAGCCTCCGCCATCTGCTATAATCAGGCAGAGGAGAGCGCAGACAACAGCTATTCCATGGAAAGTACCTTACGATAGAAGTCGAAACAAGACGGATTCTACCATAATGATGTGCCATCCAATAAAAGTGCATGCTTGCTCTTCCTTTGTCTCCTGCTATGATAGGTTCAGATGCCACCGCGTGATATGCTCTCAATGGTGGTGATGTGGTATGCACCCTTCGACATCGGAGTTTGTTAGGAAGATAGCTTTGAGCATGAATGGATAGAGAGGTACCTCCCTTGGTGTAGTGAAAGTCACAAGATACTGATGACTATGGTTTCAGGTACCTCGGGTTCGGCCATCGCACAGAGATATAGAGGAATGGAGAGTCTGCTGAAGAGTGGAGCGATCTTGAGACACATTAGTGATTGAAAGAAACATGCCTTCGGGGTATTGGCCTACTCTTGTGGGAAGATCAGAGACACTCGTAACGCCAGTTGCTTACACCATTCGGGTTCGACCAGGGAGTTTGCTGAAAGCGGATTTGACTTTGAGACACAATGGTTTGTCTCAAAGAGTAAAGAGGAAAGCCCTTCAATGACAGTCGGATTCACGAGATGCACGAGGTACAACAACAAAGATGCTGGATACAATACAGTGTGAGGACAAGTACCTCAACGGCTGTGTCCGTCTCGTTTGATTCGCAAGAGGTATCTTCTTCAAGACACCAGCAGGTCACAAGGTCATTACCAAGAGGCCTCGATCGGCTATACTCTGTGACCAGATGGATGAGACCGAGAAACGTATTCTCCAAGATCAACAGAAACAGCACTGATGATACAATCTTAACTTATAAAGATGCCCGTTACATCCACGGCATGATTGGAAAAGAAACTAGCAATCAACCCCTCTCAATCCATCTCATCGCCTCTCATCCCATCTTGTCTCACTTCAGTCTACTCCCTTGCACTATGGCTACTCCAGCTCTAGTTCCTGCCCCGGCTTTGCCACCAGATTTATCTTTCAGTTTCCCCAACCCTGCCAAATTTTCTGCATCCCCGAAACAGGAGTTGAGACAATACGTGGCATGGCTGCTGAGGGAGGCCGAGGTACCTGCTTTTCTTTGGGGGCCTGAGATAACGCGGATATACGGAAGCAAAACCCATTTTGAAGTAAGTGTCCTAGACTATTCCCTACCCCTTCACCTTGTATAATCATTGTCAGCTGCTAACATTTCTTCTTCTTGCACAGTACAGCATATGGGCAGTGAAAGATGAGCTCATGAAGAAGGCCGTGCAAGTGCTCAACGAGGCCGGATTACGACCCTGCAAAAAAGGCCGTCGTTGCGCGAAGCACAGGGACCTTCCATTTCCCGACCAACATTACCACAAGGTCCTCAAACATTTTAATACCCATGTCAGTCACGGCGTTTATCTGTACCGGAAGTCCCGGTTTTTCCCACATTTTCCCGACCCGCCACTTGTCAACCCCAAGCCTGATGACCGATACTATATGCTCAGTTCGAACAAGCGGCTCCCAGACTGGAGCTATAGCTGTGAACAAGTAAAACGCATGTCCAAGGATGGGTATCCCGTTATCATTCCTACTCCTGCCCGATATCTAGAAGCCGTCTGCCTGCAGTCGGTCCGTCACTACGAAGTGCAGGATGGGAGTTACTTTTGGAACGGAGAGAGACGCGCCATGATACATATCTTGGAAGATCGTTTTACTGATATATTGAAACTGGATGACCTTGATGAGCCATGGCATGAATATGGCAAATTAAATATTGACCGCGGTTATGGTGATCGCGCAGGTGACTATGGTGGCCAGAAATACAGGCTCTTCCTCTATCTGGACATGAAGAAGAAAGGTCAACTTCCACCACCCGAGACAAAGGCAAGAATTAGATGGTTAAGACCAATCCCGGACCTTGTAAGGGAATGGGGCCTGCCCCTGGATTTACTAGACTGATGGTTACCTTGACGCACAAGTCCTTTTTTTTTTCTTTTCTATTTTTTTATTCTCAGTGATATTGACAGACGTGGCTTGCTTTGCCATTTATCGGGTACCTCTCGGTTTTTCTCTCCTCTACATCATTACGCTCATTACAACTATATAATATATATATACATATGGCTGCCTAGCGCTATACAAACTGATCATAACTTCTTTTGCTACGGAAATATCACAGGCGTGGAGTATCTTGTATACCAAAAGCATTCTCCTTCTATTAAAAACCCCTTCAGCAAGAGTAAGCATGTGATAAATAGTACTAGGAGACGTAAAAGCAGTCTAGGGATACGTTAAGATAACAATGTATAAATCCACAAAACATTAATAAGAGACAAAGGAAACAAACAAATTAATTATGGGGCTAGGGGAATAACAGAAATGTAAAGAAGGAAAATGAGAAAGGAGACCCGAAAAAAAAAAAAAAAAAAAAAAAAAAAAAAAGGCAAGGAAATGACAGAAGCTGAATCCCCGAAACCGCATGAGATTGAGCCCACTCAGACTTCAAAAGGCTGTATCCCATTTATATTTTTTGCTTGCTTTGAGGGAGGGTTTCACAAGCTGCAGCGATGCCCACTGACGATCCATGAGCCGGCGTCGGAATGATCGACCGGGGAACAGTTCCATTAGCTTGATAACATCTTCGGCATCTCTTTTATTCTGCTCCTCTGACCGGTTCCCACAAGCTTGGGCTTTGAATATAATCAATTCGGTCAGAGGAATGACAGGGAGATGATCGGGATCCAAATTGCCGAGCAGTTGCAGATTTTTCGGAATCGTCGTGAACTATATAGTATAAAAAATGATCGAGAAACCATATGATCAGTAATATGTAACTTCAATTGCATCAAGAGAGCCTTGGATTGCAAAAGGGGAGAATGTTTTCAGCCTGAAACTCACATCATCGGTTGGTCGGATGCCAATTCGAATGCAGCCATATATCGTATGCCAGACCAACTGGTCTAGCCGCATTTCAAAATACTGCAGTTTGGACAATACTTTCTTGAGTTTCGGTGCAAATTCGGGAGGGAAGATCGCAATGTCGAAATTGTCCTATAGCTATTGATCAGCCTGAACGCTGTAGTAGTCATGAGCAGGATCGATATCCTACTACTCTACATACCTCAACGGAACGTTTTCTGAAGTAGCAGCGCACGGCTGCACCCCCAACTATGACACATTGGGCCCGATCATACCCGGTGATAGCTTTTATCTCCGGACTATCTCTGAGGATTTGAAGGAATTCCTTGATAAATTGTAGCATGTCGCTATCTGATACCATAATGTTATGGAGTACGAATCTGTTGTGATCGCGAAGAGTGGTGGAGCTGGGAAAAAATGAACTGCGCGTATAGAGGAAGAAATCAGAGCTGTGTGATGAGCAGAGAACAAGATAGTGAAGAAATCGCTGGATTTCTTCGTAGATTTATACATAACGATAGGCCCCTTCTCAAAGTCTAACAGCATATGAAAAGGATCACATGGTGGTATAGTCGCTTTCGCAGTATCTGCGCCCAACTGTGGACCATCAAAAGGCGACTGAGAGTGCAAGCTGAACAGCCAAACTCAGAGCTCATCCCCAAAGTCAATCACCAAACATTTCCAATGGGAGGATGATGATGAGGAGCACTGTGGCGCGTTCATGTTGTTCTCGCTCAAGGAAGCTTCTAAGGCTGAAACTTGTTACCACTGGGGGACCATCCCGTTACTGAAGTAGCCAGGCTGGAATGATAGACTGTCATCCAGGTATGATGGACCCTAAACCATCGGATCTTGGTGAGACAGAATAATTCAAGAATTAGCGGGCCCGCACATACAAGCTCAGGCCTGAAACAAGAATGACACAGCCAGCGCAGGCTAGGAAGGAAACTTCTTGTAGCGTCGTCAGAGAGACGGAGATGGAGAGAGCCCTAACATCAATAGGTCGCCATCCGGCGGTGATGAAAGCTTCATGCTTCTTGTTATTGTATAGGAGGCATAGACTATACCTACCAGCCCAAGCAGATGGACATTGTAGGGATAGCCAAAGATACATTTTCTCTGTAAGAAGAATGCCCTCTGGCGTGCGTGCAAGTAGTTCTGTTGATGCTGGCAAGTCAATTTTGAGTGACTGTCCTGTCACTGGTCTGTGGCTATTGAAATAAGGTTAGCAGTTCGTATTTGCAGGTGCTATCCCGTTAATAGTAGATCAGAACTTGAAGAACACTTCCGGGTCCCGCCAGCATTAGGGCGTCCAGCCAGCCTGTGGTATTCTCACATTATCGCTGAAATTTAGCGGAGAGGGTCACATATGTCTGACTGGCGGGTGAGGAAGGTGGGATGAAATCTAGACATTGAGACACATAATCATCCGATCTCTGGAATCCGCAAAACTTCCCCTGCCGCCTATACCAGTCGGGATGATTGATCGATCGCGTGGGCTTTTCGCAAGAGACCGTGTGGTTAAGCTGAGACCTTTTCAGGGCCAAGCCCCAACTCCCTCCCATTGACAATCCGACCAATTCTGGGGCCACCACTATGGAGTATTGACAACAGCCCTTTCGCTCTTTACTTGACTAGCGTTACGTATGTGTTGGACTCTCCTAGATTGATAAGCTAATAACAGCCCGCATTTGTCTATTGTGATCGACAGCCTGCAAAGATCCAGAAAGCGCTTCCTCTTCCTCCCACTCCGACCCGAGACAAGAACGCAAACTAGCTGGCGCCACTTCGCTTACCCAGAGACTCCGTATACAGTACTTATTCTGGGAAGGAAAGTGGCGTAAACGCCTCACAATGTGCTCTGTAGGTTCTAGAAGAAAGTTAAGAGGGATCACCATATTAGCCCAAACTTAGTGTAGTATCAGGCCCCCTGCAGCTAGCTGCTCCTCATGTGTTGAACTTTTGATGCAGCATTCGGGAGAAATCTCCCAAGACTAACTATATGGGACCCTGTACTGTAAGCCAAGTACCAACTAAATTCTTTAACCATTCCTGCTGTCTACGCGACTTTTCTTGAGAACCTCTGTGAAGATTCAGATAGGTTTTAAGATAGATCCAATCACACGCTTCCCTGTCCTGGTCCCTCCGAATGTACAGGGATTCTGTCGGGTCCCAAGAAAAGATCAGCTACCACACTTCATCTCTGTCATGTCTTGCAACCTCCCTCTAGGTGATACGTATAAGTACAATTTATACTCATAGGGTATTTCACACACTTTCTACACAACTAGTGAGCACTCACTACTAGCTACATGAGCACATCTCAGCTGTCACAAGGTATTATAGCCAATCTACCCTGAAAGATAATAATATCCCAAATCAAGAAAGGAAAGAAAAAATTAATCCTCATTTACTGCCCCTGACCTATACTGAAACCACACACATCTTCATCTTCTCCGAACTCAATCTATCAGACCCGCTTTTACGACTGACAGAGTTATCCACTGTTTGATACTGTACTCAGACTGAAATAGAACATGACTCAGGCCACTATCGTAGTTACCGACCTAACCATCATGCTGTGGCGTTGATCGATCAGGTTCGCGGCCGATAGTTTGAACTAAGTGGTTATATGAGATGGGTGATAAGTATACCATGTGAACTACTGTAGGTATAATAAACAAACTACAGGGCGGGTGCGGGAAGTGGGGATTTACTATCAATCAAATATTGATGTATCTATCTACTATGTGATGTCATAGATGTCTTGGTATCTCGTTGTATCAACTTTATTTAGCACTGCTCTCCTATCGCAGAGTGAAAGAATGGTGATTCACTACCAATGTGTGAGACGGTGTCAAGGGCGGAATTGATCATCAATGAAGTGATAAGCTGTTTTTTATGGGTTTGAAAAAGACTAAGGTCATAACTACGTTTCTGGTCTACACAGCTGAAGATGGTGCGATACTACATCTGATTAATTATTTCATTTCCCAAGGTATGCCTGAGTGGACCAGGACAGTAAAACATCGCAATGAAAGAAGCATGAGGTAAAAAGAAAAGAAAGACTTTCTGAGGACAGTAAACTTTTGTTTTGCGTGCTGCAGGGCAAAAGGGGTATTTACACAAGTCGCAAAGCATGGGTGTTAAGATGTACAGTCATCCGTCGTAGCAAAAGGGTCATAAGTGAGTCAATGAAAATCAGGTGAGCTATTACTGTTTCGTTTTCGTTTTTCTTTTCTGGCCCCGGGTTTTCCATTCCTGATTTGGTCGAGCTAAGCCAAGATAACTTGTGGCCTTCAACGACCCCAGCGCGAAAAGTCCAAATTCTGCAGGATATTCGTGTCTGCAGCCGCGTTCCAATCGGTCGCAAAATCAGTCCGGACAGAGGTGTTGCGCGAGGGTACTTCTTCGGAGAATATGTTGGCTTTGGTGTTGCGGCGTTGACCGGGATAAGTCCCTTCGGCAGCCTCAGAACTTTGAGCCTGGTTTCCTAGCGCTCGCTCGCGAAGTCTCTTAATCTCACGAAGTCTGTTGCGCCACGATGAAATGTGCTCGCCTCCTTGGCTGTGCCAGACAAGCGAGAAAACAGACGCGTTGAGAGCGAGAATCCGAACGAACGGGGCCAGGTTCTTCCCGGAGATAAGCTTTGGCACCGCAGCAGGTGATATTTCTGGGAACCCGGGCTTGCTCATCACCTTCACTTGGTAAAACATGTTCTCAAAATCGGTTCGTCTCGACTCCGCGCTGCTAGGATCATTGGTGAGACGGCACACAGGGTTGATAACAATGTTGACAAAGTTGAATTGAGAGGGTATTGTATTGAAGTTGAAAGGTGTATTCGACCGGTTGAACACGATGTTGACGAAATCATTTCCTATGTGGCGTTTCTTGTTGATGCAGGATGGGTCGTTATCAAAGTTCGTAGGCATCATGGTCGGAACATGGTAGACAATCTCCGTAACTCGGTCACGCCATGCATAAGTGAATTGGCCATCGAAGTCCGCATGCAACCCTTGGGTATTGAACCGAGCACCCTGGAGCGGTACTTTGGTTCCGAGTCTTGACAGAAAGTATTCGTAGTCTGGGCTGCCGCTGGTATTCGACAGAATTTCTGCTTCAGTGGTCTGACCGTTGTCGATGTATATGACACCAATCTTGTGTCCATCCACAATGTCATTGCGGTCAAAGGTGTTCAGTGCTCGGCGTGTGATGTCATCATCGGGAAGAGGAATTGGTTGCATCACCGTAGGTGTCGGGAAAGCCGTGGTTGTCAGCTGAAGCATGATATGGCTCGGGAGGACAGCAGTGCGCATGGTGTCAGAATGTAAGTGGGCATCTGGCGTAGGCGGGACTTGGTGAGGAAGAACAGGTGCAGTTCGTTGCTGAAACATTGCGTAGGTAGTCCCTGACGCTTGCCTCTTGGTGACCTGAGTCAAGCCTGATACTCCAGCCGTCTCAACAGTCACGATGCTCATACCTACAATCCAAGACTTATTCACTGCAGGTCCATCTTCAGGCGTGGGGGGAAAGGTCGGATAGGGTATAGTGTCCCCCAAATCCGAAAAGGCCGCTCTCTGCATCAAGTCGATGAAGACCTGGCTTGGCTCTTCGACTGTCTCTCTACCGTGTTCATCCCGATATATGAGTCTGCTAGTTATCCAATTCACGTGTTTGGCTCGATCCTGCAATTTCAATGAAAGAAACCAGAAGATCATGACATGATACGTAAGAGTATATATGTATCTTGACATCCCGTCCTGGAGTGAAGAATCAGACGACTCTGCGGGCGAAGCCATAGTATCTCGGACACCACTCCCAAGCCTTGTTGGAACCTGAACATTTCTGGTGGGCGACTCAGAAGCCTTGAATCGCTGTTCCCTGGAAGTCTGTAGAAATCGGATACAGATGCCAAAAACAGTGCGGATCTCTTCCTCGCGTAGGTTGATATAGACATCAGGAAGGCGTGCAAGAAGAGCCAAAAACTCCAAGATGTGCACAGCAAGATTGGACATTGTAATCACTTTGGACATCTTGTCAAGGATTCCGTTGAGTGACTTAGTTACCGAAAGGGGAATTTCATGGCAACAGACAGAGAGCGCATGTATGCATCCGCGAGACGTGCCACCCCAGGATCCAATGATACCCATCATGAATGCACGGACAAGCTCGTCTTCTTCGCTTTTGGCAAAGTGTTCATGATAGCTGACTAGGGAGCAAAGAAATTCGAAGATGTAACCAGCCACGTCGGTCTTCTTGCCACCTGTGGACGGTGGAGGCTCACGAAACGTGTCATTTTTCACCTGATCGCAAAGGATACTGCGCAGTAATTTGATTTGGGGAACTGCGTTGCTGAAGAGA